TTATAATGAGATTTTTTTCATTAAAATTTTTTTTTATACTTTGTTTATTGTTATTTAGGGAACGTGTAATTTTTGTAGATATGCTATGTTATTTGCAGATGTACTTTTTCTTTCATAAATATACATAAAAGTTCTATACGAATGTGTTAGAAAAAAGTAAAAACTTTTGAAACGTTCGGTTCATACACTAATGGTATACTTCCCACACGTATCATTAAGTTTGATTTTTTTTTTTTTTAAATTTAGCATTTTTAATGGAACGTCGTTATTTTTGAAAATTTAAGTTCTTTCTTTAGTGTTTTGAAATTTTATACTTTATATTCTGTACTTTATATTTTGGAATTTAATATTCTTAAGCGTACCTTATCGTTTTAGAGCTTCAGAATTTATTTTTTTAAAGTTTAAACTTCATATTTATTGTAATTCTATACTTGTAATTGTAACTTATACTTGTAATTCTAAATTTAATACTTCAGTGTTGTTTGTTTACTACGTTGTTTTTTTTTTAATGAATTTTAGTATTTTTTATTTTGTATCATGACTTTTAAAATTTAAAACTCTTACTTGTTCATCAATTTTATTTTATTCTAAAACTTTTCTTCTTTTATTTGTTCTTAGTAACTTGGAATTTAGTTCTTTTCTCGTAGGGTTTTTAGCTTGTGATGCTCCTACATTAAGATATTTGTCTCTTGGAAAAGTACTTATTTTATAAGAGTGCTTTTATTTGCTATATTTGTAAATATTAAACATTATAGGCATTATTTTTAATTTTAATTAGGGTCTTATTCAATGGACGATATCACATCAAAAATTAGCATCAGAAAAGCAAAAATTAGTTCCTAAAAATTGTATTTATAATCAAATAGGTAATATGACTTTTGGAGAATGTGGTTTTTATTATCCACTATTCTTGCTGCAACAAATGCTAAAGGAAAATGCTTATTACACGTTCATGTTTGCTGAGCGAAATTCTGCTGTCTTGATGATCTCTCATTGACGTTGCTTTCAATATGGTCGGGGAGCATATACATTTTTATATACAAGTATTAGGCTTAGATTTAGAACTTCTGTTCTTTTTTTGTTACGCGTCTGCATAATGTATTTTAGCACTAGAATAAGTTAGCATTAATTTAGTACATTTTCTTAATTCGTTGCAATAAATGCAAAAATTAAATAGTCTTAACCCTTTGACGGTTATGAACATGTTCAGCTCGCAATCGAATTGTGCCTCATAATGCGAGCAAACGAGTTCCGCTCGGGAGCAAGATTTTGACCGTAATGGTTAGCAACGAGCACTACTCGCGTAGTGAAATTTTTCCCCAATGCGCGCTGAGCTCGTTTGCCATTATTGTTATGCATTGACTATGTTAAAAACGAAAAGTACGTAAAAACTGTTATTTATGTACTACGAATACTTTAAGAAATTTTTAAGGCGTGAGGCGAGCTATCTACCGCATCCAGAGATGCCAACTTGCTCCGCTTTGTAAAATAGTATTTCCTACTGATAGCGAAAGTAAAGTTACTTTCAGTTTAGTATTTTTCCTTTTAAGTAATTTTTTCACCACTAAATATCAAAAACTATTAGTAAAATATAAAATGCAACGTTAAGGCAACAATCTACTGGTTACTCTATTAAAAAGTAGGCGTAACTGTCCTTCTCCAACGAAATTTACTACATAATTTGCTACCACTTTATTATAACAATTCCAGAAGACGGAGTAGTTGGCATCGCCAGAGAAGGGTGACATTTTCGGAAGAACGGCGGTGGAAAACAGCTGCCACTTTCGACTACTGTTTGCACATAATACTGCGCGAATTAATGAAACGAAAACCTGCTCATTTCCCTGACCGTCAAAGGGTTAATTTATAGTTAAAAATCCTAAAGGAAAAAGTGTAGTACATGCTCCTGTTTCCTCCATTCATCGAGATTCTACTGCCTGATGTGAAGTTGCACTCAGTATGATCGGGGCATATAAGCTAATGGTTTGTCTATACTGGGAGCATTTTTATATAGGTGTATTAAGATTAAATCAAGGACTTCTATTCTTTTTGTAATACATCTGCATAACGTATTTTCTTAATTTAGTGTATTTTCTTCATGTTGTTACAATAAATGCAAAAATAAATAAATTTTACTAAGGGTTTAAAGTATCTTACACACTGTCAATAAAAATTTTCCTAAATTTCCCCAAATACACAAAGGAAGTAATTCAGGAACAGGGTGTTCATAATGGTGGCTCTTAATATTAATTTTTAGAATCCTCTTTAGAAATCAAATAAAAAAATATACACAATATGAATCTCGAATAAGTTTTTAACGAGTGGGAAAAACGAAAAATTTATTGAAATTTAAGAAATTACAAGTAAGGAAGCCAGGACTGTAAACATTAAAATCTGACCGATTGTCGGAGGAAACAAAGGAATTGAAAATAGATTGTTAGAAACAATTCCAAATTTCATTAGGCAATCAAAATGTTTCTATTTTATTTAGTCCCTCCTTTCTCATTAATGATTCGATAGTTTTTGTTTCCTTCTCACGTAAATATTAACTTGCTTCATGTATGCTTTTTCATATTATTTTTTGATAAGGATTCTAAAAATATATATAAGAGGTGGTTAGTTTGCCACACCCTGCATAATTGTAAGGTTTTCTTTTGTTTGTTATGGAAGTGATTGGTTTATGTATGTAATTTTATTTTCCATTACAGTTTTGATTGTATTGTGTTTTTTCTGCTTCCATGTAAATACGAAATAAAATGGTGATAAAGAATGTGGTTTATATGTGCAGGGGTTTCCCAAAAAGTTATGTCAATGATTTTATTGGAAGTGAATACATATTGTAGCATGCTCGGTCAACACCTCCTAAAAGAAAGAAGGCCTCAGCACGGATCAATTTAGTGGACCGAAGTAGCGAACATAAACTGTGCAGTGGATGAAAAATAAGAAGGATGTCACTACGTTTGGACTACTAAGCTGCACAGTGGTGGGTAATACGAAAGATGTTGTTGCGTTTGAACTACTGAAGGACTTTCTTGTTTATGGTAACACGTGCTGAGGCCTTTTCTTTTCTAGGAGGTATTGGATCGGGCCGGTTTAGATTGGTGAAGCGGTGTGAACAAACTACTTAAATATTTCAAAAGTTATAAAAGAATTTTAAAAAATCGCCAACTTGGCGACATTTTTCCATTTAGATGAAAATGATCGAAATAACTGCCTTATTCTCAGTTTTTGAAATTTTTTATGAGTCTAAGTAATGCAGCACTGGAGTAAGTTTTTTAACTATTAAAAATTACATCTCAAAGGCTTTTCATTTTCATAAAACTATGGCTTTTCTCCACATAGACGTTTTGCGCCATTTTCCAAATATGCGAAGACAGCGCTAGCTTTAGATATGCTAAACTTGACCCAACAGTTATGAGTAACAGTTGCAAATTCACAGCATTTATTTGCAAAAAAGCATAATTTCATATTACGACGGAGGCTTCGAAAAACAGTCTTAAGCACGAGTGGTTTCCAAGTCGTCTCAGAAGATTATTCGTAGAGTAAGAACGATCATTTTAAGAACAATCATTAATCGATGGAGAACAATTACCTTCACGTTAAATGCGAAACTCTGCAAATGTGCAGTGAAAACTTTTCCCTTGAAGGCTGTATCTGGTGACGATTGTTTATCGGAACACCAAATCTACCGGTGGCACAAAATATTAATAAAGGAAAACGGTTAAGAATGCGTCTATCAACGATCCCTTCATTAACGAAAATGTGACTCGCTTGGCTACTCATGAAAGCAGAACATAGTTTGATTATGCTATTTTCCTGGCCGATTCAAAGATGTCAACTATGCCCCAGCCTCTTTACAGTTTAGCTGATGTGCTTTCTTCAAGCTTCTTATTAATATACTTAAAATCTCTTATGCGAGAATATCATTTTGGGACAGTTGACAAAGCCAAAACGGCTTGCATCAAAATTTTATAGAACACGCCATAACAAGCCTTTCGTTGAAGCCTTCATTATTTTTTCGAAATTTGTGTAGAAACAATGTATCGATGCAGAGGGAACGTGTTTTTTTTAAACCACTTTTATAAATTTAATGTGATTTGATCAGTAAATAAGAAATGAATAACACAACTGAATTTGAGCTGAAAGATTTACTTGAAATTTAAGCATTTCTTTTGCGTCATAAACCATTAAAAGGTTTAAAAAGTTGACATATTACGAGTGCTCTAAAATATCTCAAGCATCAAAAATTTGATAGATCATTTATTACTGCACATTGTTGGACCTTTGGGCATAAATTTAATCTCGATAACTTCAAAACTCCTTCCACCCCTTTCATATAAGTTCATCCTATTCAGGAATCTTATTTCATTCATGTGAATGCCGATCATGTGATCTGGTGAACGACACGAATACCTCACTCTCCTTAATTTTTCGTGAAAACGCGCCCTGCCCTGAATTGTCAATCTGACACTATGATTTTTGTAGTTTTGTTTTTTGATTTCCTTCATTGTAAACTCTATTTCATTTTAATCATTCAGGTCTGGTGAGTCTTCAGAATGGGCGGTTATTTTTGAGTGCTCGGAACATGTGCACTTTTTCCTCCTTCATAACTTATAAAAAGAACAAAGTCTTTTCACTTCAAGTCATTAAGTGTTTTTAATATACTTACTGACATTTTGTTTTGGAAACAACTTGTATAATATCTATGTTTTTTGTTATGGACGAGGGCAGAATTACTTTGATATAAGTTCCCCACTATAACCCCGATTATAATGCGTTTTCGTTGATTCTATGGAATATCGGACAATTCTCATTGGCGGTGATTCAGGTACATCTGGTCACCGTCGAGAGAAAATGAAAACCTGATCAATTAAATATATTCTCTAGCAAAAAATCCACCAATCTGGTTCTCCATTTCTATCGACGGCTATCGGAGACGCGTGTGACGCATGCAGCGGCAATGGTCCCCAAAGAAATGCATAGAATAATGACAAAATAGATGGTTCATATATATAATTTTAATTTTTGTCTCTACTGTACAGGGATTAATATACAAAATTTGATCACGGGCTTGAACGATTGCCACAGGAATAGGACATTGTGCAAGTAGGAGGATGAACACTTTTCAGGCTCTTGAATCCACGTCGCTACACATATCGTCCCTTTGGATCAGCAGGAGAAGAAGAGATAACGTCCTCTGGATCAGCAAGTGGATGCCCTCGAAGCTCAATTTCATTGCCAGTAAGGAACAGTAAATGTTCTTTTGAATATTCCACAAATAAAATTTCTTTCAAAAGATTTTAGTCTTAAGAAACCCCCTCAAACTCCTATGTTCAGCTCTAATAACATAATCCTATGCATAAAGCTTTATTTCGTTGTTAATAGTTGGCGCGCGAGTCATTCAGAAAAAAAATCCCTGGTGGTAAAATATACGTATTTCGTTTTTTTTTTTCATTCATAAAAAAGAATCCACCTAAAACGAGGGATTTCTTTAAAATTAAAATCTTAAAGCCCAAAATTGATCTAACACTTTCAATGGCCCTTTTTAATTTAACACTGATGAGCAAAAACAGAAAACGAAATAAATTAATGAAAATGACTTCTGGCTTACACACTGTTTAATATATATATATAATTACACATTCAAACAAAAAAAAATTAAAAACACGCGTTTTCGTTTATTTTACAGACAAATATAGTTTTTTTTACATAGAAACTAAACTAAATCTAAATGCCAAGGATTAAATTATTACTATCAACATTCTTAAGAACATCACAGAATGATATAATTTTTTTAAAAAAAATTACGCAACCCTGAAATTCTAGCTAAATATGTCCTAGAAGGGGATAACACTCAAATTTGAGAGAATTAGGCACCTCTCCTCGCAATTTTCTTTGTTTGACCAGATAATACTCAAAAGAAGAAAAAAAAATCGAAATTCTAATATTTTTTTTTATTTTTACATAAAAAAAAAAGAAAATATTCCGATGTTTCGAAAGTTGGCGAGGCACGTTCCAGCCGTTTTCTGGTATCACAATCCGTATAAAAGTCCAGGACGACAAGGCTCCAGAGTTCGGCTATCTCAGAACGGGGCATCGACAATTTCCAATTTACAAAGATTTTAATTCAAGGCAACAGGAAGAGACACTTAGGTTTACCCTTCAGTGACGAGGATGTCGATAGATGGCGTTGCAGTAGATTACCACAAACAGAGAAAATTTATGCTGTTGAAGATTCTTCAGGTGGTTCGTTTTTGTTTCTTATAGGGTTAGTCAAAGACTTGTCATTGATTAGGATAGCACATAGACACAACACATAATTTTTTTTTCGAATATTTTTCTTTTTCCTCTCATAGTTATTATACAAGGACATCAATGGAGAAACTAGAAAATGAATTGTACTGGAACACCTGTAGAGTATTTTTTTTAATTCTTCCTGTCCTTGAAAGGACTAACTGTAAAATGAAAGGAGAAAAAAAATCGCGTCAGAATATGGAACACAAAAATGTCATTTTTGAGGTTGTGCCCAGAGAGATTTGAAGTGAAGTGAAGTAGAAGGTTTCTCGTGGAAAAGGTTTTGAAAAGAGCATTAGAAAAAGGAAGAACTTTAGGAATAAAGGGGGGAGACAATTTTTTAAACAGAAATTTTGTTTTTAGGAATATTTTAAAAATGTTTGTGAGATATCAGGAGGCTTTTGTTCAGATTTATCTTCAACAGATGTTTATAGTACGAAAAATTTAAAATTTTATTCTTGGGGATATTTTGAAAGCTATAAGCACTGTATAGTAATTTTAAACTTATATAAACTGACATTTTAAAAAATACATAAATCAATGTTTTAGAGATAAGTTTATTAGTGTTTCTTTAATTTTACTTCTGGCCAAAAAAGAAGCACCAATTTAGTTACTGATTAAAGCTTCATTTCAATATTTTAACTAAAGCAATTCGAAACATTCTAACAAATAAGGACTAGGAAGTGTCAGACGAACACAAAGTTGTTAGTTACCAAAGGCAAGAAAGTTAAGTGAGTAAAAAATAGAAAAGAAAAAAGAAAGTATTTAAAAGCAAAGACAAAACTAGTGGGCACAACTAAATAATAATAATAATTTACCATTTGCAAACTAACAGCGTTAGACCTGAGTTCAATAAAACTTCGTTTGAAAGTTCAATAAAAAGTTTTCTTTTTATTGAAAGGCTTATGAGTTTCATAAACTTATAAAGTCTTTCAAAAGCAATAACAAAATCGTTACTCTAGGGAAAAAAAATTCTCTTGGTTTTTCTCAAGATGCCGTTTATGTATTAATTGATTGATCTCAAATTGGTTATAGTTTTATACTTTAGATAATTAGTTAAGTCATATAATATAGCTAACGTGATGCAAATAAATAAAATTGTTATTTCCTATTTTCAATTAATAAAAACCATAGTTACGAAGTTTTATTAATCCCAAGAAAAAGCAACTGCTTAAAAATTTTACTAAGAATAAATAAATGTTATAACACATTGAAAACAATAACAAAATACGCAACTAATTATTAAAAAAAAATATTATACCTTTGAGAATATCACATGCAAACTTGTCATCAACCTAGGATGTTTCTGTGAAGGAAAAAAAGGGAGAAACATGCAGTTATTATGGGGAATTAGTAGGGGAAACTTTAATTGTTATCACAAACTGTATCATTCAATAAGCATTTTATTCCCTAAAAATGTAAAAAGGATTTTAGGTATGGCGTGAGGGAATAAAATTTAATTTAATTTTTAGATAAGGGAAAAAGGGAAAAACCCATCACCGGTTTAGTACAACTTCATAGAAAGTAGGGATTAAATATGGAGAATATTTTTAATAAAGTAGGGGAAAATCATTTCATTCTTGAATAGATGCCAGAATAAGGTAAAATTCATAGGTTTGTCAAGGTATCAAAAGGACTATCTTTGAAAAAAGATCAACAAACGTGTGCAGAAATAAGTTTAAAAAAAAGTTGAAGAATCTTGAACCACTTTCGTATCTAAGATATTTCAGCTTAATACACCTTTTTCTTATCTGTGATTTTCCATAATTCGTAATTCTAAATGGGTTCTGCAATTCGATAGATATTATAGATGATACGATAGATCGAGAATAAATATTTGCTGATCAATAAAAATATTAGATTAAAATTGCTAAGTCAATTTTTCATATTGAAATATTCTAGAAAAAAAAATATTTTAAATAAATATAAATATCTTTGAGCAATTTTTCATTTTAAATACTTTGTTTTTCTGAAAACAAAAAAACTAATTTTCTAGTTAGCTTTTTAACTTGCAAAATATTGATTTCATTAGATGTATCTTTATGCACTGTCTACATACGTATTATTTTTTATCTGAGAAAAATATTCTTTAAAAATATATTTTGATGCCAAAAGATGAATCTATGTATTTCGGCCAGAAAAGAAAGAAAGAAAGAAAAAACAATATTTAAAAATGATATGTTCAACAATAACTTTTGGCGTTGTTGAAAAATTCCTAATACTTTTCTCTTTTTTAAGTACTTAAGTGTGGTCAAGTTCTTATTGGTTAGAAAAGACAAGATGATTAAATCTGAATAGGATAAAAAATCAGTCAAAAAAACCACTTCTTGCACGTTTCCTGTAGGGTAAAATACAATTAACCTCAGCATTCATCACACATTAGAAAAGTTTCAGAGGTTCTTTTGGTTTTCGTTCATTATCGTGCACTCTTTAAACACCAAAATACCACATATATGCGAAATAAATAACCCAGGCAATAATAACAGATTGGCCGGAATTAGATTCTTTTGTACCATCAATGTATTTCCTTGCGACGAACTTCAGCACTTCGTCCAGTAACACTACCGGTATAGACATTTTCATCACAGCAAACCATTCCTCGCCATTCAAAGGTGTGACAGAGAACACAGACTGAAAAAGGAAAGAAACAAGTAAGAATATATATAGTACATATATATTGGCTCACAATAAGACCACATCTTTTTAAAATGGTCTTGCAACTCGAGGTGCGTTCTAAGGTTCGTATCCACCTTAATTAGTTGTGTCTAGATATTGGAAGCCAGTTATGAGCTTTCAGATAACATCGCCTACAGAGACATCTGGTGTAAAACTGTGAATTTACAGTTCTTATTTTAAAAATAGCGTGAGCTTGGGCGAAAAAGTGAAATATCTTTGATTAAGTACTGACAGACACCTTGGGAGCATTAATTTCAAGAATAGAACGCTTACAACGCAGACTTTTTAGCTTGTGATTCATGACCGAACGACACAAGATACCTTTATTTTCGATATACAAGTCTCAATAAGTGCTTGAATATAAAAAATAAAGGTACCTTGTTGAATTGTGAAAAGTAATAGTTTTTTTTTTCTGAAATCATTTCCTCACGTCGCAACATGAAATCACGAATAAAAAAAAGTCGCTTTTTATCTAAATTTAATACAAGAATTCAAGTAGCCGTGGCCACTACGAAGGTTCCTAACTCACTCTGGTCAGGACAAAACTCCTTCCATGGTGGCCAGAGCATTCTATGTCCACTGATTTCCCTGGACAAGGTTTAATTTTTTGTACACGAAGCAACAGCTTTTTGGTTTTTATGAGCATTCAAAAGGAACTTCGTTTCTCCAATAACTTGTAATTATAAGTTTCGTAGCATCTTTGCATAATTTGTTTTCAATCTCCGTAGAGTCTTATAAAATAGTTATATAACTGTTCAAAATAAGCTAGTTTCACATTTGTAGCAATACATTTTTAACACTTTAACCGATTCACTGTTGTATCCTCCTCACCGAATGAGGTTGCCGCAACTTCAAACGCCATCGAAGATATATGAGAACTTAATTGGTGAGTTTTTCAAGGGAAAATATATTTCACTAATCAGGCTCTCATATTTCCTTCAGGGTGACCGGAAGTGAGACAACTGCCTTCGGTGAGAAAGCTCATTTGCACCTAACAAGAAGGTCCGATCATGGCACTTTTTGCACCTCTTAAATAAAATTGACTTTTATGGCTTGAATTTGAAGACAACACTACCAAGCACAAGAAAAATTCCTCACCAAACAAAGAACGTTTTAAAATTGTTGTAATTTTACCAAATGCCCAGTAGAGAGAAACATTTTATAAAGTCAATATAGACATAAAATCTTACATCAATAATACCAAATAAACTCCAAGTCAATAAATTCGATGAAATTTACTTGTTAGAAATTATTTACGTTCTGCATGGTGGAAAAATTGCCACCAGACTTTTGTTTATGATTATTTATTATATGTTTAAGAAAATAGGCTTAAAAGAGTGTTACTTACAGACAAGATGTCGACGTACAAGATGACGAAATGAAGAGTCATGGATAGAGCCATGGCAGCCAACAGCCAGGGATTGATCCATGGGGGCATAACCATCAGAGACTGATTCTCAGATAAGCTGAAACGAAATTTTGAGTAAGACAACAAATCGTATTATACACAATTTTTTTAAGACTTTAAATAAAACGTAATGTAATCTTAGTGTTAGAAGCATTATGCATAATTTCTTTCTACAAATGATGACTACTCTATAATGAGATAGGAGCAACAAGGAAGGAATTAAAATTACAGAAGGAAAAAAAAACAGTTTACTTGTTTAGAGGGACTGAAATGAATTTAACTTTTTCTAGAAACTGCTTTTAAGCTTTATCCCCAGATAGAATGGTTTTGAAAACTTTAGCACCCTATATCTTTTAATGACATCAATAAAGAAAAGTTAACGTACAAAAACGTTTTATCCTATAAATATTAATTTATGTCCTCTAATTAGTTAACAGGAATAAAAAAAATATTATTAAGGGTGGTAAATTTTGAGGTCTTTTAAAAAAGTGAAGTGCTTTATGGGGATCGCAAGTAAATATATTAACTAAAATATATTTAAACAATACCCGAAATAAAAACGAACTACAAATATGCACATAGGTTGGCAAAATTGAACTTGTTTTGCAACTACTAACAAATGTTAACATTTTGGACCTATCATCAATAGAACTTTAAACGAAATGCTCTCCTTAAAACTCATAAAGGCGTAACGGGGTGTATGCGAATCAATTTTAGTTTAAGTAGTTAACTATGTTCACATAAGCTTTATCTTCTTTACATTTGGTTTTAGTTAAAAGGACAAAAATCATAGAATCTAATGCAGTCATTATCAAATTCCTTATCTGGAAATGATTTGAAAATTTTTGACTGAAAATTAATTCAAGTCTTTATGAGAGTAGAATTAACAGTACCTGTTCATGGCGTTCAACATCTCAATTGTGACCAATACAGACAAGGCCATGGTCATTGGATGAGGATCCTTGAAGACTGAGCAGTCATGTCCAGAGAATTTTTCTGGATCAGTGAAGCATGTAAGATGGTGAGTGAGCTGCCAGTATGTGAGATGAGGACCTTCGGGTGAAATCATGAACCACCAGGCGGCAGCACCAACAGTTGCAGCGCCGACGTAACCTATAGAAAATATGGCTATTGATTAGTTTTTGAAAAAATTAGGTAAACTAATTTACGAATTCACTCTATGAAGACTGATAAAAACTTATACGTTACGTTTAAGACTATGGTTACTAGCACCTAAACACACAAGGCAGCATCCTACTGTTAAATTGTACTTGTTTATAACAGAACGCCCTGTAGCTTAAAGGTAACTGATAATGGTAGTTTAAATGCATAGTTAAATCTCACAACAGTCGAATACGAATATGTTGGGTTAAACTAGCGAATTCAAGCTAACAAAATGAAATGATTCTAGAAGAATGTACTATGTCTGATTTAAAAAATAAAAGTAGGAAGAGAGAAAAGGAAGGACGTTCACCTAAACACTTTTAAGACTCTCCTATTCTGTTAAGAAATACTTCTTAGTGTTTGATACTAATCCTATTTGTAGGCAATCATACCTCAAAATAGGACGAATGCTCACTCTAGAACTCTTATGTGTCTAGGAGATATACTGAGTAATTTTCCAAAACCGTAGGCGTGAAAGGCTGAATTAGATCAGTTAAATGAGTTAAGTTGTATCCTCTGATGGATCCAACTTATAAATGCACCCTCTTACTCTATACTAAAACCATCTATTTTCTTTTATTTCAACCAGAGGTCTACAAAAGTTAAAAATTTCTTGGAGTTAGGATCAATATTTAGAAACGAATTGCTTGAAAATATTCAGATTTTTAAGGTTTAGGAAATTAAACAAGCTACTTTTTAATGAAAAATGAAATATTGAGAACCTGTTGTAATTATTTAGGCAGACACTACTTTATCGGACTTTGTCCGACCCTTGATTAAAACTACCAACATAAATTCAATTTCTCACCTCCAATAGCCATGTATCGGAAGAACAACCATCCAGTAATGAGGCCTTCATCAGCTTTCCTTGGTGGCCTGTCCATGATGTCCAAATCGGGAGGGTTGAAGCCCAAGGCAGTGGCGGGAAGACCATCAGTGACCAAGTTGACCCACAACAGTTGGACAGGAATGAGAGCTTCTGGAAGACCGAGAGCAGCAGTGAGGAAAATAGAGACGACTTCACCGACGTTGGATGAGATGAGGTATCGGATGAATTGTTTCATGTTGTTGTAGATGGCTCGACCTTCCTCTACGGCAGCGACGATGGTGGAGAAGTTGTCGTCAGCCAACACCATCTCAGATGCAGATTTAGCGACAGCAGTTCCAGATCCCATGGCAATACCAATTTCAGCCTTCTTGAGGGCAGGGGCGTCATTCACACCATCTCCAGTCTGTGAAGAAATCAAACGAAACGCATTACATTTTGTAAATTAGACAATGCTGACAGCTAGAACACATGATTATGAAGTTCATTACAAATATTCAGTATTTAAGATTTACCATAAAAATCATATCTAATTGTTGTTAAAAACTGATACACTATATTTCGTCTCTTAAGAACTACTATGAAATTTCAAAAATTTAGATAGAGCAAAAAGTATTGGAAAGATTAGGTAATTACTGAGAATGTGACAGTTTTATCTTAGAAGATTCAGAATTAGTCAAGTGTTTAAGAGTAATTGAATTCATACTAACCATGGCAGAGATTTCACCATCAGCTTGCAAGAACTCAACAATTTTGCTCTTGTGTGAAGGTTCTACTCGGGAGAATAATCTAGATCTTTGGACAGCCCTTCTTTGTTCGCTTACTGGCAAATCATCGAATTCTCGGCCGGAATAGGACATTCCTATGTTTTAAAAACACTTATTTTAATGTACTTTTCATTAATAATTTCACACACGATAGAAAATTTTTTAATTATTCTTTTCAGAATTATCTTTAGTTTTGTTGTTGAATAGAAAAACATTGCTTGATATTATTTTTATTTAAGTTGGGGCTTCTTTTTTTAAATTTTTTTATAAACCTAGCGTTTTTCCTGTAGTGCCCCATTCACTGATTACCTTTGGCAATGATTACTTTTGGCCTACCGCTGACAATGTGTTAACCCTTCATCATCGCCAAGACAATCCTTCCATTTTTCGTCTTTGTACTAAGTAGGCGCTAACGCTCACTTTGAGAAAAGACGGGGTTAAGTTACGGCAATAACTTGCGTCTCTTTTAATAGTATTTTATTCCTTTACTTATTATTGTTTTTGTATCCCGTTTTATATTTATTCCTGCCATGCAGTTGGAAATTTAAAAAATCTATCTGTGACCCCGTGGTCCTTAATGCTCACCTTAGAGTTTTGTTAACTATTTAGCCAACGCTCTCATCCCACCTCGTGCTGTATTTTTTCGTTTTTCGAAGACATGCTCCAATGCGGAAAGAATGGTTGATCTCAGGTCTTAAATAAAAATGATGGCTCTCCAGTTTTGACAAACTCTGAGTTTAGAGGATATCCTTCATGATCAGGTAAGGAACTAGATGGTATAAGGATAATTCTTGTTTTACGTATACCTCTGTTGTGTTTTAATAATTCCGGGGAGAATTTTACAAAGTTATTTTAGTGACTATGCTAGTAACTGCTTGTTTACACTGCATTCTTGTGCGGGTTTACGTTGAAAAGAAAATAAATAAAATTGTTCGGCTTTTAAGGCATTTGTCATATTTCATCCATACTATACGTTTAATCTAAGTTATTGCGAATGTTTTGCTTCCCTCAATTATAATCTTTACTGCAGACCAATTGTTTCTTTAGAAATAGAAATAAAAAACCCACAACAAAATATTTAACCAAACATTTCGAAATTTGAAACAAAATGTAATTACCAGTGGTGTCTTCATTCTCTTCGAATACTCCGATTCTTCGGCAAATAGCTTCAGCTGTAGACTGTAATATAAATAAGACAATTAAAAACATAGAAAGTGATAGGAAAAATTATTATATCTCAAAAAAATACATAGCGCACGAGCTTAGGTTATTTAGTTTCTAAATTCTTCAATAACATATCCATAGATTTTATCTCCAAAAACATTTCCATCGATCTTTTAGCTCCATTTTTTCTCTCTATGTTTACACTTCCTTCGAATCTCGAAGAGATAAAAGAGACTGCAGATTTTTGCATATATTGGACGACGCTCTGTTAGTCACAAGTACTTTGTTGCCTGCATTGTATTTTGTCTATTCAGTTTTATGTTTTGTCTTTTTAGTTTTTTTAACAGTTTCCAATACCAGTGCTACTAACCATCTACTGAACCATTAGGTTCAGGAGATCCAAGGTAATCGTATATATATACANATCCTATAAACTCAGAGATTATATATATATATATATATATAGCGAGAGTATAATCTCGTCATCAGCTCACACAGTTATATCCGCGAAAAAGAGTGCTTTTTTTTAATACTGTATTAGTAAAGCCAAAGAAAAATAAATCATTACATTAACGTGAGAAGTATCAAAAAAATTGAAGCAAAAAAAGAACATATTAAGCAAAAAATACAAAATAAAACATATTTAAAAAGAATAGAAAATAAAAATTTAAGAAAAATACAGAATAAAACACAAAATGTCGCATATAAAGCGAGTAGCGAATTCAAATGAGCTTCTACTTATCGGCACCTTTCAAAAATGATTTAAAACATTTTCGTTATAAATTTGCCAGATTGTAAGATATGAAAATAAAAGCGCAAATAGAGGATAACAGGTTGTATTTTATGGCGCGTTCTTACTGAAGTACAAAAACTCGTTGGATTTGGGGGTTTTATGGGTTCTATGTAATTGCTGCTTATGCGCATTAAATTAAACTTATTATTTTTCTTAGCTGTCTTCATTAATTTTTCTCTTTCTTGTCTTTTTATTGTATATATATACACAGAGAGATAGAGAAATAATCCTAGTTCAATATTCAAATGAAAGAATGTTTTATTAAAATTATCCTTACTTTGTTATCACCAGTGATGACAATGACTCGGATACCAGCAGCTCGGCAACGTTTGATGGAATCCATGACTTCCTTCCTTGGGGGATCCAACATGCCAACTACACCAACGAATGTCATGTTGACCTACAAAAAAATCCATAGAATTCATAAATTCCCCAAAAAAATTTGATATTTTTATATAATGTTTAAATGTATATTACTGCTTAAACGATGGATCAGATTGAGGGGGGAAAAACTAACAAATCTACATTTACCACTAAATAATTAACTTCAGATATTCTCAGCACCTTTGTAAGATTTGAAAATGTGTTTAGTTTAATTACGAAAAAGTACATTTCCGAGGTAACGCCAGTCCTTAAGAATTTTATTTTCCAGTCTAGGGATCATCGATTCCATTCCCTGTGTTATGTGCTGTATTTTATCAAGTTATTTTTTTTGTATATGCAATTCCTTTAAATAATCTACTCCATTCGATCATAAATACGTATATTTCTCTCAGAATTATATACTTCATTTTTTAAAAAATCAAAATTACATGTATTTTTCGATCCCCAGAGAGCATTAATCCTTATTTTTAAAATTATTTCACCATTTACTCAGGATTATCTATTCGATTTTCAATTTTCTTTACTTCATTATTCAGATTTATCTGCTTCATTAAATAAGAATTTGTTCGTTCATTTTATAGAAGCATCCATATAATTTCATCTAAAAGAATTTTTATGACTATGCCATTTGGGAATCGACTTAGGGACATACTCAAATTCATGTGGTTCGATTCTGTAGATAAAGACTCTTTCGCACTGAACTGAAAAAACTGAAGAACCGTTGCTGAGAACAGATCAGATTGGAAGCGAATTCTCGAGAAAGGCAAAGGCCCAAAGTGGGCTGTCGTGCCAATGATGATGATGATCTACATTGTTTAACAATATAGCGAAATGGCACAGATCAAAAATTTCGCGATAGAAAAAAAAAGAAAATTTTGCATAAAAGTGAATGAGTGACTCTTATTATCAGAGTCAGTTAAAAAGTAAAAAAAATTATTAATTTTTTTAACCAACAGGAACTCTAAAAATGCATCCCTCATAAATAACATTTTTTTTTATTTTTTGTCAAAAATGATACATAAAAATATTATTTTTCAACTCTTAAATAATAGAGGGAATCAAAAATGTTTCCCAGAAAGTTGCCCAAAAGGTAAATACAGGAGTAAGTTACTTGGTAACTTATTTTTTGATAAATAACACCAGAAACATGTTTTTTTTTTTGGACAAAATAACTGTTACCGCTTGTCTTGAAACATATATTCCTTTGAAATATGTGCTTCACTTATTTTAAAAACCATTTAATTTAGGTCACTTATTTTAAAAATCATTATAATAGGAACAATAAAGGGCAAAAACACTGCTTTTTATGATTCAAATGCGATTCTTACTTCATAGTTAATGAATTTGGTGGCATCTACCAAGTCCATCTCTTCTGGTTTAGGTGGATTGTCCAGTGTTGCGAGAGCCAAGCATCTGAGAGTGTCGCGTCCAGTACCATAGACCTTGGTGGTCTCAATGATCTTGTTCATCATGGCGGATGTCATGGGTACTTTAGTGTTACCGATACGAACGTGTGTGCATCTGTCCAAAACACCTTCTGGTGCACCCTGGCATAAGGAAAAAGCAGCAAGTTAATTTAAATTGCAAAGACTTAAAATTTATAAACTTGTATTAAAATTTATAGTCTGTAAAATAAATTTAAAATTACAATTCAAACAATTTGTTCCGAAAGTAACGTACTATTACGCTAAAATAAATCAGTAGAAAAATAATACTTTTCATAGCTATTTCCTTATAATTTTTCACAAATTTAACGCTGTAGTTGATGTATCAGAATACTAACTAACTATGCTTAAAATATATTTATTATTACAGCTAATGAAGAAATTATTTGAAAAGACTTGGTTTCTAAAATATCCATTCTGTTTCTTATGGTTTTTAGTTGTTGTTGTAGTTTCTATTGCCACTTACCAATGCCGACAAGTCTGTTTGGTAAACCAAGGGAATTTAAGTCAGGGGGTGCAATTCTTGTTTCTGAGTGGTACCATCTATGACCAAGAACATGACTTCAACCACACATACGTCACAGCCCGTTTTACAGGGTTGAACCTTTCATATATTCATTCATCCACAGATCGCAACTTTGGCCTGAACCAAGAGCGATCAATCTCCAATTTAGTACTCCCAGAAGTATTTTATTTCATTTTATAACCATTGTTGAAGACCCGACCTAATTCTTTGGGTTTACGACTACTAATGTTCAACTCCGTAGCTTTATGATTTTGAATCCAATCCAGAAGACAAGAGAACTCCTGGATCAAGTATTGGGAGAAATTTGCCTTCGTGGAGGACTTTTTGATGGAACTAACTTGCATTTGCGTTACACGGTAAGTAAAACCATTAGAACTTTTCACTGTTAGCCTAACGGCAAAGGGACTCTAACCCATGATCCGTCAACCACTGATGATATTTTTACGTCGGCACTGTAGTCGGTGCGAGCTGGGTGTGGAAATCGTATCGAACAGGCATTGCTGGGATTCGAACCCGGTTCACCTCATTGGAAGTCGCAAGCTCGGAGTCACCTTGACTCCCCCAAAGGGAAATCGGATTATGGGCACTTGGAGGCTTGTTATAGTAACTTTAAGGACTTTGACCTGGATAGATTTAACGTGCATCAGTGACCATTTAATACCGAATGATTTCTTCGGCCAGCGGAATTCGAACTCCCATTCTCATGAACAAGTCGTGAACAAGTCGTCAACAATGAACAAGCTTGTGCGTCGAACGTCCTACCAACCAAACTATATCCCGGTCCTCATGGTTTATGGTAAAAATAGTGATTAAGTTAAATTAGTACGCGAACGTACTTATTATAGAATATTAGTAACTAAATTAAAAAAGATCTTATTTTATCAGAACTAAAAAAAAATTTTAAAAAATACTCATAAATTAATCTATGTTTAGTTCAGTCAAATATGTATCTGATAATCTTAAACTAAGTAGCAGAACATTTTTGGTCAAAGAATTTTGCATAAAATAAAATTTCAAAACAAATATTCATATATTTTTGAATTTTGGAAGCTAAAATTTCGTTAGAGCACTTTAGGGCGAAAGTAAATGAAACAAGGCACGAGTATTTAGAAAAAGTTCAATGCGAACTTAAATTATGTTCTAGATTGTACATTTTTGGTTCATAAGATAATCTTTGGTTAGGAATCAACGAATCAAAATAGGCTGCATGTGTTCTGGTAGCCAAAATTTAAAGATTGCTTAAGTAGTTGAAGACAAAATTACAGAAACGGATTCAGGAATTTTAATTATACCTTGCAGAACATTTTTGGTCCAGATCCCAATCGAGACACTTTGGTTGGGATGCAGTAGCTGCTCATGGATTTACGATCTCTTGAAAATTCAAAGGTGAATTCCTTCTTCCACATGCTTTGGATTCCTTGGTTGACAACGATGGCAGCATCACGTCGAGACTTGCCAGTTTTGTCGAAGTTCCATGGGTTCAGTTTCTCAGCAAGGACGGTGAGAGCGGTTTCAGTGGCCTCTCCGACTTTCTCAAAACATTGTTTGTACTGCACACGCAAAATATATGTATTAATACATACTCATAATTGATGAGACTTTGATAAACTCATAATTTATAAAAATTCAATCGGAGACTTACTTCATTGAAGTCAATGCTGGAGTCATTGCACATGGCGCAGATGGTTGCCATTTCATACAGAGCTTCATAGTCAGATGTCTTTGCTTTGGCTCCATTGATGAAACTAATAAAAAAAAAAGAATTCTAAAAAAAATATCAAACAGCAGCTGTCGCCATAGCAACGCATGCAATGACGACGCATGCGCACTGTTTACTATTACTCTTGAACACAGTTGAAAAGTGTGATGACGTCCAAATAAGATGCGCACACAAACCCAAAGCAAGACCCATTTTCCAAAAGGGTAATAATGTATTGATTTAAGCGTTGATTATGTAAGAGGTAATAGGAGAGGAATGAAATATAGATATTTTTACTCACACTTCTCCAATTGGTTCGTATGTTGATCCGGTAGCTTCAAACTCAAAGAATTTGGGATCATCTGCTTTCTCAACGATGAAGAACTGCAAAGAATTAAGGATTATTAGATTCTGAATTTCAAGTACTCAAAGTCGAACAATTCAGTGGAATTTTCTGAATGATTCAATATCTTAACTGATTGTGTAATAAAAATTTAGATCTGGGAGATACGTACCCTGCTGACGGACATCTGATTGGTGGTGAGAGTTCCGGTTTTGTCAGAGCAGATGACGGATGTGCAACCCAAAGTTTCAACAGATGGAAGAGACCTCACAATGGCGTTCTTCTTGGCCATACGTCTTGTACCTGAAGAAAAAATAATGATCTTCAGTTGTTGTATCTCCACAAGTTTCCAGCAAATACCAAGAATCAGATGTAGTCATATAATTATAATACAAAATCCAAACCACGAAGTTTTACTCAACTTGCTAAAATTTCTATTTAATATAATTGAGGAGAGCAAAAATTAAAAATTTTAAGATGCATTTTGAAAACATAGAAATTTACTATTATCAAAGCATTGTTTGGGTCAAATTTTAGTTAAAAAATATTGCACTATTCTACCAAGTCTTTGAAGTCGTTTTTTTATAAAAATTAATTTGTAAATAGCTTTCTGATAATTTAATACTTTGCAAGGCTGATTTTCAGAAATGAACAATAAATGGACAATGAATTGTTATTAATTTGTTATTTAAAATAATTTAATTGCTTAATTTGTCATTTCTTAATTTCAAATTAAATTGTTATTTCAGTAATTTCAATTAAGTAATTGTTTTATTCAATCAATATTTGATTAATTAATTGCTTAAATATAACCCATAATAAATAACTATATTATATTGTTATTATCCAATACCACCATAATTTTTCTTCTTGTATATTATTTATACGTTTATAGATTTAAACGATTTCAAATCCTTTACACCAAATGAATACATATTTTAAAATAATTGCAGTTTCAAGCACAAGTTACAATAAGCTATTATAAACACAAAAAACTTTTCTTTTCAAAAAAGATTTTTTTCATAATTAACAATAGTTAGCTTAAAGTTCCAGTACGGTATAACTTGACTCAAAAAAGTGTTGAAATGTCGTGAAGGTGCGTTTTAGCTCCACTGAACTAAACTCAGTGGCGCGACAGCCCATAGAGGGCCAAGGCCTACTGTGCCCATCCACTACACTCCTATATATCCACTACACTCGTATTATATTATTCCTTAAACTGCATTGAACGTTCTAAAGAATCTATTGACATTTAACCTTTTGTGATCGTGCGTTTACTTCTCAGTTACCGAAGCTTTTTTACCGTTCTAATTGTATACCTACTCTTTGCCACCACAACAAAGAACCACGCTGATTTTATGTTATTACTGTTCAATTAGGTTGATTACCTTTGAAAATATATACAATTCAAAATAATATTTTACAAATTGTGTTTAAGTGTGATTGCGATTTTCTGTTATAAAATATATATTATTTTCATATCATTTTTTCTTTATCATGTTTATATAGTTCAACAGAAATGAGTGCCGACTACTGTAAACTTCATACGATCGTCTATAAACTTTATAAGTCCGCGGAGAGTTAATCGTTAATTTAAATTCTAAAACTCCAAGTGATCTGATATTCAAAAGTAAAATTCCTCTTATACGAAGTTCTTAAAGAAATCAATTATTTAACCCTTTGCTTACAGCACTTAGTATGATGAAGCCCGCCATATTGGTTCACCTGTTTTGTCGTACGCAAAAGGTTAAACTTTAAATATTCCCAAGATCTGGCGATATTCAAAAGTAAAGTTTCAATTTAATAAAATTTTTAGACAAATCTACCGCCATGCAAACGTTATATAACATCTAGATTTTATTAATTATTGTTTTAATGTCATTTAGTATTTATTGATATAATTACTAAATGACATTAAAACTCAAAGCTATTCAAACGAAATGTTTCAATGAATTTATTGACACTTAAACGTCACATTTTATTTTGAGGAATTTTGTAACTGAACCTATTGAATGTTAAACTTTAGTTAGATATTTAAATATTAAACTTAATTCTAAAAGTTTAAATGTAATTTAATATTTTAGATTCCTTTACGCAATTTTTCGAATGATAAAGTGTAGATTTTAAATTTAACAAAAGTTTCAAAGAAAAATATTAACATCGTATCGCCAATTGTATCGTCAAATATTGACATTGTATCGTTAGTTTACGTTTAAATTTTGAATTCAATAAAAGTATGTGACTCAAAGTATTGATATTCAAGCGTAACAATACATTTTTATTAAAGAATGTAAAAATGATGCACTTACCCAAAGCTAAGCAAGTGGTGATGACAGCTGGTAAACCTTCTGGAATGGCAGCTACGGCTAAGGCAACGGCAATCTTGAAGTAATAGACTGCACCCTGTGACAGGAAGAAAGATTTGTTTAAATAAAAAGTGATATAGTATCAAAGATCAATTTAAAATTTCTGTAAAAAGTCGTATTTTTTTTTGAAATTTTATAAATTCTAATCATGGCTTTGTAAATTTGACAAACCATGATATTGTTTTCGGGATTTTGTAAGAGACACAAAAACAAGTGTCAAAATATCTCTAATTTTTTTTTATCCGATGATAAATTCCACGAGCCAAGAATATAGGAAAATGATAAGCTATTATGAATTAACAGAATTGGCTTGCAACTTAAACTTTTTCAAATCGAGAACATTGCATTCAGTTAGCTTTACGAATATTGCAATAGTGTTTGCTATAAAACTACAAACTTAAATTCGGACACAGCATGTGACCTAAACATAATTTTTTTCAGCTTTGAATATCTTCCAGACATAAGTTACGACAGAAACCTTGAATGAATGGTAGAACAACCTTTATAAATTTAACAATGCAATTACAGAAACTTGAAGGTGTTTTGCGCTATAGAGAAAACTCTACGGTCACACACACTGACGATTAAATACGACAAATCGCAATTAAAAAATGTCTATCACCACTTTTTTTCAATTTCCTTCAGATAAACAAAGTTTTAAAATAAAATTTTTATTAAAAATGAAATTCGTAATGTTGGCCATCTTTTGAGAAATGCTTAAAAAGAAATGTCTTTGTTCTTTTAAAGCATTTTTTCTTTGTTTAAAGAAACATGTTTCAAGAAGTTAGCCACTTTAAAAACTGCTACAGATGGCCATTGGTCTGCAGCAAAAATTTCAAATTTCACCCTATATTTTGCATTGGGAAATGTAATTAATTACCTTAATCCATGATCCACCGTGAGCTGGATCGTTGAAGTGACCGATGTTGATGGCCCAGACAGCGACACAGATGATGGAGATGACTTTGGACAGTTGTTCACCAAATTCATCGAGTTTCTGTTGGAGGGGGGTTTTCACTTCTTCTGTTTCTGTCATCTCAGTTCGGATTTTACCTGAAGACAGAAGATGTACATTTTTATATCGGAGAAAAATGATGCAATATTGCTCGTTTTAAATTATATCCAATTTTATATAAGAGAATAAAATTCTGATGTAATATTAAGATGATAACTGATGTAGTATTTGATATTAAACTTACCAATAGCGGTATCTAAGCCAGTTCCAATAACGATACCTCGAGCTTTTCCAGCGGCAATATTTGTACCCTAAAAAGGAAGGAAAAATATTGAAATGGAACAAAAATAAAAATGTATATGTTTAAATTGATTTCCGTTCACTAAAGAAAACGTTTTAGTCTCAAGAAAAATTTAATTTTTTGCATGCTATATCAATGAGTAAAGTTTCATAACTTGCTTTTTTTATGAAGAAGAAATAAAATTACTACTAAGAAATACTAAGAAATTAATTAAATTTAAAAAAAAAATACAAAAAAATTAAGTTGAACAAGATTGAACAGTATAGCGACATTTTCTCAAGACGAAAGTTTTATCTTTTTCCAATATTGATTTTATAAATATTTTCCTTATATTCTATTCTAGTATAAGAATAAGGCTTAGATAAATATTACATTCATATAAGAAGTAACTTAAATAAAGTTATTTAACAGTCAAGCAAAAGCTTTGATGCAACATATTCTTAACCATTATTTTTAACGTTATATGACCACTTTTCAAGACGTAATTCGAAAACAATAACGGAAAATGTGAATTTAAGAATAAATTGTAGAATTTTTGTTTTCTTTTTCCCCTAGTTAATTCTAAAAGGAAAGTAATTCAATAAAAAAAGACAAATCTTACATTTGTATTTACATTATTTAGATTCTCCTTCAAATAATCTTAGTTTATTCAAAAACAAAGTTTTAAAATTGGAAAAAAGATTTTAAAACAATTTAAACGATTTTAAAAATGTCTCCATTTAAGAATCAATTCCCAGCTTTGAATAAATAAGACAAAATATTATATACAAGACTATGTTATGTTTTACAAATGTTTGTAGAACATAATTGTTTAATTGTATTATAAAATTCGAAAAAAAAATTTGCTTATATTTTTAATTAAAATGTGACTAGTGTTCTACATTATATTTTAACATTAATCGACATTTTGGAATGTTTGTGAATATTACGTCCTGTTTTTGATACTTTTAATTTGCATTTCAGTTGAAATTTCGCCTCATGTTTTTTAGCATAAAAATATTTAGATGAAATTTGCAAACTTCATTTCGCACTATGTTTCTTAGCATAAAAATGTAAACATCGAATCTGCGAACTTCCTCCTATAAATATAAAGAGAACTCTTACTGAGAAAAGAATATTCTTTTTGTCTTGGTTGACAGCCCTAGGATCTGGAATGGCATCTGTGTGTTTGATGACGGAAACGGATTCACCTGGAAAAAAATAAATTCAACTTTGATTTTATTTGAACTCCAAATGCAGAATGAAATAAAATTCCTTCACAAGAATGTTCACTTCGGATTTAATTAATAAGCAAGCAGAAATTCTTCCAACTTACCGGTCAAGATAGACTGGTCAACCCTTAGTGTTGTGGAATAAATTTTCAATAATCTAGTATCAGCTGGAACTTTGTCACCCACTGAAAAACAAGAGATAAGCAATAATTATTTAAATATTATTTTTGATATTTTTTAAATTTATCACAATAAGTAGTACTAAATCAGTATATAAAAAATTTAAATCGAATTGTGGGAAAAAGGTTATGATTATGCTTTTTAAAATTGAAAAACAGAATGAACCTTTTAATTTGCAATGGCAGCTAAGGCAGAAATCTATATATTTCGTGGTTAAGTATTTTAGATGTTCACGTATTTTGAGAAAAGACACCGAAACTTTTTAGCTAAAGAATGGAGCTAACTCGCCAATTCCCTATCGAGGTGAATTCGATAATTAATTCGATTATTCGATTTTAATAAAAAATGCATTATACAGGAAAGGTTAAGTTAGACCAGTGTTTCCCAAAGTCTGGTACGCGTACCCCCAGGTGTACAGCGACAGTTAAGAGGGGGTACTCGTTCTTATGCGAAATATCTTGCAACAAACAAATTGTATTTAAAAACAAAGCTAGCCGAGAAAATTTACGATTACGTATTTTTCTATTGGCTGTTTTTTGCAGTTAATAATTAATTGTGTCAACAGCCAGTTGTGGTTTTAACTTTCGTTTTATCACAGCAAAAACAATATCATCCTTCTCACCGTTGCAAATAAACCTACTAGCAAAACTTTGTACCAAAAAAGAAAAATAAACATATTTTTTAAAAAAAAAATACATTCATTTTTTTATTAGTGGTACACAGCGCAACGAAAAATTTAGAAAGGGTACACCAAAGTCATAAGTTTGGGAAACACTGAGTTAGGCTAATGAGAATTCTATAATGTGCAGCATTTTAATAAATACAAATTTTGTTGTGAATATACTTTAATAATCTTAATACTTGAATGATCGAAATCAAGAGAATGTCGACTTTGAACGGTGAATGTCAACAATCACATTGTCGCTTTGATGAATGTCCAATACGTTTGTTATTATCCGATTTGATATTAATTAATTAGTTATTATTATATTTATTCGATATTTTAATATCTGCTGAGGATAGATTAGGAGAAATATCAGTGTTCAGAGTACCGGTTAAATACACGCTGGCCAGCGGCACTTGAACTTAAAAGAAACATTAATGTAGGGCATACCGGGCAGTGGTACTTAACTAAACCTAGTATATATTTCGGCCTGCCAACATACAAGGGTGGAAGTCAATTTTGGTCATTCACAGTTGCATATTTATATTGTAGAGAGCAATGAAGTAATGACATTAGGAAATATAGACATTTTACTAAAATTTTATACGATATAGAATTTTTTTAAAAAGTACTTTCGCTTCAAGCAATCCCGAGTGTGTTTAAAATAATATTTTTCAGGTTTTCTGTTTTTCCCCACAATCTAATGTGTCTTGTAATTTTGAAAAGAGTCTTTCTCTAATGTGATAGCTCGAATTTCAGAAGCGTTTTTTTTTCCTCTCGCTGTTAAGTATTACCCCTAATGTGTATTCTTTTTAGTAATATTTTTAGTTATTGTATATTTTTTTTCTTGGTTTCATTTCGATTAGGATTAAAAAAAACACGCTTTAAAGATGGCCTCTTCAGAACACTCTTTATAGCGCGATAAGTAATAAAGTTCTAATAGTACTGATGTAAATGTAATAAGTAATAAAGTTCTAATAGTACTGATGTAAATGTAATAAGTAATAAAGTTCCAATAGTACTGATGTAAATGTAATAAGTAATAAAAAATTTAAATGATAACATGTAGTATTTTCTGTAACTATCGCTTTTAGTATATTTTTTTCGAATCATTGTAAAAACTGAATTTAGGCAATATTTGTTTTAGAGGTCGCGTAAATTATGTAAATGGGAAAAAGAAAAAAACGTTTATAAACTGGAAATTAATATCTAAGTCAATAAGAGCATGGAATGTGTTAGTTTTTCCTTAGAAACTATGATATATACAAAATTATTATTAAAAATTTAAAAACTTTAAACTCTTAACACTTTTCTTTCTATATTCGGTTTCGTTATTGATTGACGCTTAAAATACATTTTTCTTTTTTTTCTTTTCTTTTTACAAAGATACTAAAATATATTTCTCGAAATATAGTAATTTTTTTTTATAAAACTTTCTTCTAAAACTATTTTAGGGATTCTAAAAACATATTTCTCATTTTAGAAAGATGTGTGAAAGATATGAAAGACTGTTGTAATAAGCAATAAAGATGAGTCACTTACCGGACACCTCAACGATATCACCGGGCACAATTTCTCGGGCTTTGATTTTTTGTACACCGGTTTTGTCTTGCCTCACAACTTTACCCATTTCTGGTTCATATTCCTTTAGAGCTTCAATGGCGCTTTCTGCGTTCCTTTCCTATAACAACACAAATAATTTCATATAAATTTTGTTTTCGGAAAAAAAAGAGCAACATTCAAGATATGGAATGAATAATTTCAAGAAACTGAAGACATAATAGATAATCTAAAAACTATAAACGTGGAAAAAGTTGACACGTTTCGAGAGCTTAAGAATGTGCGCCCGTTCTCAAGTCTCAACAGATGTGATTGAAAAGAAAAAACAAGTCAGATCTGAAAAAGAAATCGGAAAATGAAAAAAAAAGAAACTTTGACTTTTATTTCTTTTTCTGCTGTCATGTTTGCAATTAATTTTCCTCATTCGTTTATTTGAGAGTGGGCACCTATTTTCAAGCACTTGAAACATGCTTACTTTTTTATAATCTTTTGTAGCAAATTAAGTTTTTATACTATCAAACATTCAAAATATTTTTAAATTACGAAAACTACTTAAACATTTTAAAAGAGATAAACTAACTTAAAACTACTAACCACAGTATGAATATAATAATAGTATTCTGTAGATCTAAAAATACAGTTAATAAAAGAAAACTGTTTACACATTTAATTAACAATCAATTTATGTCGGACTGGTTGTTGTTGTAGCTCATTTACGTCGCACTAGACTTGAACAATGGGCTATTGGCGACGGTCTGGGACCCATCCCTGAGGAATTTTCGAAGACATGCCATCATAATTTTGATCCTCTGCAGAGGGGATGACACCCCCGCTTCGGTAGCCCGATGACCTGCACGCGAAGTCGAGCACTTTACGGTAGAACAGTTTAACAAGGACAAGTACCGCATACCCTCGGTCCCTACGCAGACTAATCCAAGTGTTCACCCACCCGCACACTGACCGCAGCCAATGATGCTTGACTTCGGTGATCTGCTGGAAACCGTGTCTTAATGGTCAGTCCACTGTGGAACTCATGTCGGACTGGTGTAAGGGTCAGTTCCGTAACCTTGTCCTTTTTCACCCACCCGCCAAGATAAAAGAACTTTTGGGCCGCTCGTTGACACACAGAACCCCCTTTTGAGAGAAAATTTTTGAGTGAATATAACCCATGTTTGTCTTACATGGAAAATCTCTAATGATCAATCAAGGGGACTTAAACCCATGATTTCTCCACAATTGGGTATATATTAAGTAATCGCTATGATCAATGCGAGTTAGCAGTAATATTTTTAAACATGAACTAGCATTTGTACCTGTACTTTTATTAGAAGCAAGTGCTGAGAAGTCACCCTGACTTCATTTATATAATTTGCACTCTTGGAATCGAAAAGACCAATTATCTAAAGCATCTAAAACTCTAAACAACCTTATGAGCATTAATTTAATATAATTTATTAAGTTGTATAAATTTATTTCAAAACATAATAAACTAAATATATGCACTTAATTGTTTGATTTGTTCCAGAAGTTATAAAAATAGGCTTTTTTTTTAAAAGTACATCTATGACGCAGCATTATTTTTTTTCTTCATTATGCTCCTATTTATAAAACAATAGAATGATGATTGAAAGATTCCAACTTGAACAACCAATACTTATTCAAGTAATAAACGAATCATTCAGAAAACTCCCAAGTAGCATTCTTACTAAATAGAATCAAAATTATTTTTCACTTTTTCAATTTTTTTTACAACTAATCGTAAAAAATAACTAAATAAATAAAAAATACTGCGTCAGAATAAAGCCCTGACAGAGGATCTCTAATTAAAGCTGACAGCTTTTTTAGCTAATTTATTAAATTTTCTCCTTTAAATTAAGTCTTTATTTATTTAGTTCAAATAGATTCTTTTAACAATGGCCTATTTAAAGAAAACGTAAAAGGTAATGAAGAGTTATTGTTTTATGGTATCTTTATTGCGATAAAGACATTGAAAAATTTTTTTCTTACAAATGAGCCGTCTTGTTCTCTTTTTGATGTTTATAAATGTCTATAAATCGAAAAATAAATGAGGGCCTTAAAAGCTACGAATTTAAAATTATTTAGTATGCAGTAAATCTTTTAAAAGGAAGATATAAGCTTAATTATTTAAGAATTCAAACGGTAAGGTAAAGAATTAAAGTCTTATTTAAACATATTATTTAAAAAATTTGCCATTTACTAATTAAATTAAAATTATTTAACATAAAAGAGGTTACTAACATTGTTAAACATAAAAGAGGGTAAAAAAATACGTAAATTATGGCAAGTAAGGTTTAAAAGAAGTGATTTAAGGTAATATAATATGAATTCCAAATTTTTTGTTGTAAAAACATTATACGTTTTTTTTTAAATAAAATTCCTTTTTACCTATCCATGCATAATCGTTTTTCTTATATAAAATGAATTTGTGGCTCATCATTTTATAACCTAATATGCAATCATTTTTTTCTATCAAACATATGTGGGTTAAAAATGTTTCATTTCGCATATTTTTATATTCAAATAAATAAAAATATTTTTAAGCCCATCAATGATGTAAACCTCCCCTTAATTAGTTATAAATTCAAAAACCAAACTGCTCCAAGCACGTCTGCGAATTTTCTTCGAAGTTACATTTAATTATCCGAAAGGTGGGAACCAAAATAAAGATTATCTTTTGGCGTTGAAAGAAATATGCCAAATGAATAATGGTAAGCCTAACAATCTACAAACAACTCCATCAACTGCTTTGTTTCAAAGAAGAAACATGGTCTATCATCAAGTGTGTGTTTTTTTTCTCCCTCTTTTCTTATTCCCAATGAAAAGAAAAAGTTGCAATTCTGCAGGAAAGAAGAACTAAAGGATTCCAGAAGTTTTCTGGCAAGGGGACAAGGAGCGATTCAAGGACATAAGATGGGAAGATTCTTATATACAAACATCTTCCCACAGTCAATCTAAAAGAGAAGACATGGGTCTTGAGAAAAAAGAAGAAGGGGGGTTTCGAAGTGTATAAATAGATGGCAGCAAAGCTTTTTAATTGTAGTTCTTGGATCAAGACGAATGTAATATTTTGCACATTCGCCAAAGGCTTCCTGGCAAGTAGGTACTGACCTATATATGGTCATGAAGGTAAAGAATCCGTCGAAACCCGAGCATCGAAGAATGAGTTCCGTTAAACGATTCTGGAAAAGCCTTTTTTCATTTACCATTCATTTGCAGAAGGTCGCCCTACTTCAAGAAGAATGGGTGACGCCGAAGACAATCCTTTAGGATGGTATTCCATCGAAAAATGTGACAGAAGATATTTGTCATGAATGAAAATCATGCCCTAACAACAGAGAAAACATAGCACGTTCTATTGAATGAATCTTTTCGAAAATTTTAATTAGAAATTTCCTTTTCAATCAGAACTTTTGACTGAAGAAACTTGTCATAAATGATGATCAGAAGAAGAAAAATTAGAATGATGATTGAGCGAATGGTAACATCGGAATCAAGTGCCCCAAGTAGCACAATTCACAAAAACGATATCGTAGAAACTTAGCTTTGAACATTGTACAATATCTTAGCGAAACATTGTACTATATAAAAATGGACCCCTTTTATAACGTATATTCAATATCGCGAAACAATATTGTTCGATATTGATGATAGATATATTCGTCGATCGATATCTCTCAGCATTTCGGATATCTCTAAATTTATACTTTAAATTTATTTTTTGGAATTATAACAATTTGACGTCATTTTTTGCCTTTTAAATGATTAATTTTGATTTAAGAACACAATAAAGTTTAAAATGGAAAGTTTTACAAGCAGACTTTTAATGTGAAATCGACGGGAATCGTACAATATCGTATACACAATGTCGATTTTCGCCAATATTGACAATGTCGGTCAATGTAGACTAAAGCTGTTACAATATCCCTGTGCTACTTGGGCGCATGAATGAATTTTAATATTCATTGCATGAGAGTATAATTAATCTTGGAATGTAATTAATTAAGCAAACTTTGAATACCGACCTAACCGAACAAAAGTTTTAACATAGTAATGAAATCTTTTCAGAATTATATTCGATTTGAAAATTTCATTTAGAAATGTGTCATTTGATCGGGAAATTTGACTAGAGAAATTTGTCATAAACGAAGATCATACCACAACAGAGGAACGATAGCATCTATTCTATAGAATGAATCTTTTTAGATGCGCATGAAAATTTGAATGAAAATTTTTAAAGAGGTGACCTTCATAGTATCGATTATTTATATGAGTGCTGATAATATATTTAGACCAATTCAATATGGATAGAATAAGTAATTATTAAAACCTCATACCGAATAAATGGCTAAACGAATTATTCTAATATTGATCAAATGAATGAGCATTCAACTCTAATGCCGCTCAAAAGAATGTAATTGAACTCTAGAGACGAACTCTCAGTGAGGAAGAGGGCTCATCTCGTGATTGCTAGATAGTATATTTTTATGAAAACTCTGCGGGTTTGGGTGTGCTTGCTGTAACTGCTCAAGCTGTAAATGTAGAAACTGAATACTTAAATAAATGGTAGCTTACCTGCCATACACCGACAATGGCGTTGGCGATAAGAATGAGAAGAATGACAAAAGGTTCAACGAAAGCTGTGACTTGTGAACTTTCATCTTCGTGTTCCTCAAATAAAGCTAAAACCTGCACGTAAAAATAACAAGGTTAATAATCCGTTATGAGAAAATATACGTTTAAAGTTAAAACAATTATAAATTATAAAAGCATATATATACACATAAAATTTTTAGAGAACTACTATGGAAACAAAAAAATTATGCACTTCAAATTTTTTGTTTCTATAGTACACAATAATGAGTCCTTACTTTTTAGGATTTTTTTTTTACTAATGTATGGGGATTGCATGTTCTTTTTTTGCAGTTAAAAAGACTTAAAAGTGCATACAATTAGGAAAACAGCTATTTCGCCAATTCCGTTTAACTAGTAAAAATGTGAAATGTCTACAAGCATCCGTAATTTTGCATATTTATTACGAAGATTAGAAAAAGCTCGTATTGAAATTTTAGTTATTTACTGCAAGTTTAAATGAGAGCAGTTCTTTGTTCAAGTAGAGCCCGAATGCGTAAATAACCGAACTGCACATAAAATTGCTTTTAAGCGTTATATTAAACAAATTGGTGAATAAATCAGGGAATGATTAAATAAATGAATCAGTAATTCGATAAATGAGTGAGTCAAAATAGCGAGTCAATGAGCGAATAAATAATTCGTAAATCAATGAATGAGCTAATAATGAATCAGTAAATCAATGGAGGAATTAATTTGTTATTAATTTATTCCAAAATAATTTGATTCGCTCAATTATAGTTTTAGTGAAATGTTGATCTACTAATTTTTTGTTCCGCTGGCTCATAAATTTAGCTTTTCAGTAATAAATCGATTCACTGATTCGTTAGTTCATTAGTTTTTTTAATATGACCATTCCTCACCTGTTTTGTTGTTCAATTAATTCGCTCATTCACTAAAATGCTGATTTATTGATTCGCTGACTAATAGAGCAACATATTTTTTCATTTATTGATTCGCCATTTCAGTAGTTTTCTCACTTATCAGTTACTGTTATTCGCTCAATAGCAATTTTTTAACTGAAATTTTCCGTAAATAACCCAAATAAAATTTTAATTGTGTCTTTTTTAACTTCCGTAGTAAGAACGCGATATGACAGATTCTCCCAAACAATTCATTTTTACTAGTTACATTTTTACAAGCACTTTTCAGTACGTCTTTAAGCCTACATACGCCTTTTCTATATACGGCAAATTCATATTTACAAGGAAATTAAATAAAAATACAATTAAACTAGTTTCCTAATGCGTTTTTATAGTTTATGTATAATTGCAAAACTTATATTTTCCACACTTGTTCCTTCTCAATTATTGTTTAAAGATTAAAGCGATTGTAATATGTTAATAATGTTTATAAGCATAGGAAATACAGATTGTGTATTTTGAAAACGGAATAAAACTTTATTTGATTTGGAAACTTTCATTTATTTTTATGTAGATCACATTTTGTCGACAGATTTCTCAACCTTTAGTGTTTCAATAGTATAATGCTCTTATAAAATTACGAATTGGTATTTTAAGGACGAAAAAGAATTAAAATTTCCTCCAAAAATTCAAATCAATAAATAAAATCAAAAATTTATAATTGGGTATATATTTAAAATGGCGGGAAAAAAATTTTTTAAAACCAGTTTGATTCCCGGAAAAACTTGATCACTTTCAAATCATCTTTGTTTTCCCCGACAATCAATCAGGTTTTGATGTTTTCATTTAATCGTTACTTTGTTGAATTTCTATAACTTGTTTTTCCTAGCTTAAATTTAAATCATCATTAGTAAAATAATTCAAACCTTAATAAAAAAAGACTTTTTCATTCCTTTTTCATAAGCTAAAATAGATTTTAAGGTTAAAAATAGATTTTAATGCTGTTATTACTCAACAAAACATCCTGTTTTTCTATATGCTGAAATATTGTTTTCTCATTTATGTTTTTTAAAACTATTATGTTAACTAAAACCATTTAATATAAAACGAGTAGCATAATTTTGATAATAAAACATTATTAGCATTATTTTATTGTCTAGTCATTATTATACAAAACATATAGGAAATACACGGTTCCTTTATATGCAGGCTTTGTTAAAAAATATTTCTAAAACTAAACCAGATTGGATTTCAAAATCCGAGTAAAGAAAAAGTTCTTTTAAATTTTCCATTTTCTAAAATCTGGCATGTGCCTTTTTGCAATATAATCCTGTAAATATATTCCGAGCGCCATACTGAAACAATTTAAAAGCACTTCTTTCTGTTTTAAAAATCCGTACTCGGATCTTCTATAAATTGATACGAAGTACCCAACATTTTATGTTATTATGTTAAAGTTTAGATAAAATATTCCTTCGATTTCGATTAAACAAATATTTCAACAGCTTTCTTTAATATATGAAGGCCTTTTGTGAAACAGTAGAAAGTCAAACAAAATTTCCAGCTGAATTGGGAAATTTATTTTAACAATTATGGTGTAAGAAGGGAGATATTAAAAACGGGCTATTTTATTAGAAGTTTTGATTTTTCAAAAATAAATCTTTTAGAATTTTGCATATTCAATTTCATAAATTAATTTTTTACATATATATATANATATATATAACTATGGATAACCGGATGACCGAAATAGGTAGTTGTTGACTTCCACTGGTGAATGTTGACAATATAATCGTCCCTTTGCTATATATCCGAAGTATATATTAGGTCTAGTTAAGTGCCATTGCCCGGTATACATTTGCTTTTCAAAATCTATCATCAGCAGATCTTAAAATATCGAATAAATATAATAATATTAACGAATAAATTAATATCAAATCGGATTTAACAAATATTTTGGACATTCACCAAAGCGACAATGTGATTGTTGACATTCACCGGTGAAAGTCGACATTCTCTTGATTTCGGTAACATTCACGGTAACATCACGGAGTTTTAAACAAAACCCAGAAGACAATGAAACTTCTGAACCGTGATAGGTGCAATTTGAGACTTTTTCAATGGAAGGATTCAGAGTTTGTTTCAGATAAAGAGGAAAACTGCGAAAGGCGAGAGGAGCAGACGTATTAAATTCGACCGGTCGTTTGGCTGGAAACCTGCTAGTCTCAGAGAAGAGAAAGCTGCGTCCCTTGGGCAGTTACGACAAAAAATAAAACTACTGCAAAAAAAACAGGATTGTTTACTGTTTTTTCTTAAAATTTTATTTAAAAAAAAAGGATTCTAATAACATTTTGAAAACAACAAATTGTAAGGAAAAAGATTTTAAAAAAAATTCTTACAAATGATATGATGGCTGCTAAAAGTAAAATTTTGACTAAGAGATCGTCGAATTGCTCGATAATGAGCTGTAATAAAGTTTTTCCTGAAAAATACAAAAACATTAATTAGACAATTATCACACTTGAAAAACTAAAATAAAATGCATATAATTAGAACACTTCAAAACCAAATTAAGAATCATTTAATTTCACAAAACTAAACAAGAAAAAATATATATACATTCATGCCAGTAATAGAGATTCGCAGTAATAATATTCAGTGTCCAAAACTATGTGATATGTTTACATTTTTGCACAGTTGTTATCATAGCACAAAATGGAATCCGAAGTAATTCCGAAAATTATGTTACACTGAAGATCTATTACAACCAACTGTTAATAATTAGCCAGCTATTGGGATGGTTGATTTGGCTGACACTATATAATGCGCGTTCCGATTCGCCTCATAGGGGTTCTGTGAGATTTAGATCGAGGCTTTAAGAGTGCCAGTCTAATTTTTAATGATCCATTTTGTCAAACCATGGCTGCCAAGTCATGACAAAGCTGGGAGAGCAGTGGGCTTTCCCTGAGCCCGAGAATGGGGCAAACAGATTATTGCCCTAGATGTGGGCTAACGGAATATTGGCCTCAGAGGTGAAAAGTCCAGGTTTTTTTGCATTAAACTCAGAGTTCATTTTTCCTCCACAAGAACTATGAGACCAAGACCAAAGCATGTAAAACAACCCCACATTTTGACGCTTCTTCTACCTTTTTAGCTGACTAGACTTTTAGACGGATAGTGTAGCATATATGCGTGGTGTTCTACAAGAGTCACTCTTAGTATACATTTTTTAAAAAGTACTTTGCAAATCAAATATGAAAATACTTTGCCCATTAGGGAAGGAAAATTAATATTTAAGTGGGAAAGAAAGTGTTTTTAAACTCTGATTATTTACTATTAAGTCAACAAAAACAAAGGATGAATCAAATCATATGAAAAAAGCATGTTTTAGGATGAAGCTTAGTCCCTGACCTATATAATTAGTTACAGTTATGAATTCTTTTTCACTTAAATATTAATTTGCCTTTATGTGCATTAGTTTTCACCTTCGTTTTTTTTTTTTTGTTTAAAGATTTCAAAAATATATAAAGGGTATTCTATACTACTTGTATACCTCGATTAGTTTTATCTGAACTGCTAAAAATCCACGTATATTATTATTTTTTTCTAAATTGAAGTACGTAGTTTCGTCATTTTGAAATATTAGACTTTTGATAAGAAATAATTTATCCAACATTTAAAAAAAGAAAATTTTCTTGCAAATGAAAAATTCAAATATTTGAAAAAATGTGCTCAATGCACTCAAACTTTTAAAACTGTATTTTAAATAAAATTTGTAAAAAAAATCGTAATATCAAAAAATAGGTCTCAAGTATCTAAATATTAACATTATCATATTTACTTTCATTATAGAGAGTATTCAGCAAAGACCACTGTTAATGAGTGTTTTATAATTTTAATTAAAATTTGAATTCAAAAAATTTCCACATTGTGGGGGGGGGGGTCGCAAATTTATATTTACGCGAGAAAAAAAACAAAAACGCTATCGAAATCTGACAAATTACTGTAGAGGAATGCGAACAAAATAAATATCAAAACAGATTTAATTGGAAATTGAAAGCTTCTTATCTTTTCGAATAATCAACTTTATTACTCAAGCATTCCTGAACTGTGATTTGTGAGATTAGGTTAGAGTTTTTGTTATTTCCTCGACAAAATAACAATTTGCGAACCCTAAGCGTATACTTTGTCTTCATTTTTTTAAACATAAGGATTAAAAAAATACACATAAAGAATGGCCTTTACGGACAATCTTGTATTTTAATTATTTATTTGAAACTATTAAAAAAAATCATATATTTTGCTTCAGTTGTATCAACTTATCTCCAAGAATCTTCTCCTTGTTTAATTTTTTTAATTAGATTTAAAAGTATTTTCAATGAAGTAAGTAAACTATGTTCAGAAAATTATCCTATTATATATTTTGGATTGCAGATTTATAGTTATGGACTTCAAGTAACCGTAATAAATTTAAAATATTGTTAACAACTCTTTGTAAGTAACAATATATGTAACAAACTTTTAATTATTTTTTGAAACAAGTTACTAACGATAAGCGTGTATTTAGACGATGCAAGTCAAAAAGGATTCGAGGACTTCCAGATAAATATTTACGAACTGCAAGTTAGTTGTCGTAATAACTTACGAACTGTAAATTCTATAACTCTATAAGTAACAAAATAATCATCATGAATTACAGAAAATAAACAAATTATAGTTTTTTGGCAGTTTTATGCATCAAATTTTATTTAAGCTTTTGAATCTTTTCTGTGCGTGAAGTAAACTGTTTAAAGTTGAGTAGTTCCTTGGCAATGTATAAAAAAAAGCAGACGATAATCACTTTAGGCAACTTAGAGAAATATATAAAAATGCTTTTGAAGAATTTTCCGTAGAAAAATCGAGAGCTCCAAAGGATTTATCAAACCTTTTAAATCAAATTTGACAGGGATTAAAAGAAGAGTGGAAGGAAAAAAAATCATTAAATCGATTTCATGCAAGATTTCTTATGGCATGTAACTTTTTGCAAATTTTTAGGAAAGAAAATATTGTAAAAACACTCACCCTCTTCAGCAGGAAGTTCTGAAAAAGAAAAAAAAAATAGAGTTAGACCCACAGTTAGAAGAAATATTATTAGATTAAGAGCATTACTAAAAGTAAATCTTTTAAATTGAATTAAGGTACTTTTTTCGGCGCAAAAATTTTATAGTTTGGACAATCTTTTTATGACTTTTTAGCAGTGCTTTTTATTTAGAACAGGGATGTTATAGGGAATAAAAATCTGTTTACGGGAAATTATACCAAAAAAATTCCCTTTTTTTATCATTAATGTTCTTTGCTATTTTTCCATTTCTTAATTTTAAAATAAATGTTTGGCCGTTTACTCAAAACAAATCTGTAGTCTTTCATTAAAACAAAAGGTTTAAAGAAAGCTAGAAGAATAATTTGTTTTTTTTCGAGACAAAGTACTGAATGCTCTGGCATTTTTTTAAGACATCGAATTCTAAAGGACTTAATTGTAATTGTATACATATTTTATTAAGTTGGCTTAAAAAGTATTATCATAAAATTGTTACGCATTTTAATTGACATCATAGTTATTGAGTTTAACAGTATTTTCTTGATGTTTTTTTTTATCAAAAAGTTTTCTATTCCATAAATTTCAATAATTTTAAATAATTTTAAGCTGCGCAATTTAAAATGATAGAATACAAAATCAAAATGAAATCATTTAAAGAATTTGAGTAACAAAATTTCCTAAAAGTCATAATTGAATAAATTCATTTTTCAAAAATTATTCTTTTCATTTTGTACAAAGTTTGAATTTTGTCAATTTTATAATTACTTAGTTTAAAATAATGTTAACATTTTTATAATTTACCATTCGAAATTCCAACCATTCATTAAATTTAAATAGTAAATAATAAATAATAAAAGTTTTCTTGTAAAACTTTATTATTTATTGAAAAATAATTTTTCATAATTAATAGGGATGTTTCTGACTAAACTGTATTTTCTAGTTTGAGTCTACTGCCCTTGCTTTGAGGTTTAAAAATCCGAAATCATTAAAAAAAAAGATATAATTAATAAGAGAAGGTATTTTTTTGTTTTTGATTTAGTAACGAAAGATATTGCCAGCACAATTTATTAGCCAATTTAAGTTTAGAACGTCTGTCTTTACATATTGTACATTTATTACGTGAAAATCCGATCACTTGAGGAAAAGTTATTAGCCTCTAGTGATCCGATCTCCAAATTATAGCAAAAAAATGCACTTTTCACTTAATAATATGTGGAAAGTAATAACATAAATGTGATAAATATCTTAATGAAATCATTTTAATTTAATTTTTTAGTTATTCTTAATTATGACATAAAGGCAATTTAGGCATTTTTAACATATTGAAGGATATTTTAACATAGTATTTCGTCATATTTTTCTCATAATAATAATTAAAAAAAACATTTATATGCTATAAAACCTTCTCAGGTTTCCTAAACTGAATTAGTTATCTTTAATTCTTTATCGTTAGCTTTTTGTTGTAATTATAAAATTCAGACCAGAGAGGTTCAATCCAATTATATTTTTACATGAAGCAATCGCTTTGTAAAGACAAACAAATAGAAAAATAAATTTTAAATTATTATTTTTTAAAGAGATGAAATTGTAGCAAATGTCATCTAATATGGGCCTTAAAGGATGTTAAGGCGTTCCTTTTTTTTGTACACGATGCAATTCATTACGTGTTTTCTTTGTTTCTAAATAATTCTTTTACCTTTTGTAAAAATTTGGAGTTTATTTAAAAAGTCATAAGAATTTTCAAACACTCTTAAGCATATCCCCCCCCCAAAAAAAATTCAAACATCATGATATTATGAGTATAATTAAATGCTATTAATCTGCCAATTTAAAAGTACTAGCATATTTTAAAAATACTTCCTACATTCCTAAGATTTATGTTATCATCGTCGTATTATGTCATGATACTATGCATCATAGGCTGGTATAAAATAAGTTTTTTTCACTGCCAAGATATGAAGTGCGGCAACTAATCATTGGGCTGTTTGAATATTATCAAGCGTGATGACTGTAATTATTTTAAAATTTTAAAGCTAATCATTGATTCTTGATAACGCGTTTAAAATCACTTGATTAGCTGCAACACTTCGTTTTTAAACTCAGGAATAGAAAATTCAGTTTTTAAAAAGATATTCATTAGTTAATTTATTTGAAAACATTTTTTACGCTTAATTAAATCCGTGATTAATTAAAAGTTCATTATTTAGTGTCAAAATGTAAAAAGTAAATGAATTATAGTAATTTGATTTTGTTTTCGATGTCCTGATTCCAATATTTACATAAAACAATCGTTTGGTATTTTTGAGAACTTGGGAGCAATAGTATTATTCTTCTCCGAATTCTAAATGGAATCTTTTTTTAAAGATACATAAAAAATTATTTATTATCTAAGCTTAACAAAAATTTAGATTTTTCGATTGCAATTACAATTACTTAAATGGAATTTTACTAATATTAAACCATAATTAAGAGTAATTATGATTGTATCATACATTGATTGAAAGGAATTAAATTAATAGAATTGCATCTCATTTTGATTACACATATTTGTGATTAATTTCATCTCGTCTTGAATGAAATTATTTATAATTACATTTTGTCTTTAATAAGAGTTACAATTACACTCATCTTGATTATAAATAATTATAATTTTGTCTTATCTCGATTGCAAGTAATTATAATTACATCTTATCTCGCTTTGCAAATAATTATATTGAAATCTCTTTATTGTAAGTAGTTATACTTGCATTTCATCTTGGGTACAGGGTTGAAGTAAATGCGATTACAGTGATTTTAATTACAAGTAACTATGATAACACAAACTTTGAGTACGATAAGTAATTATAATTACATTTATAATAATTACTAGTAATTATAATTGAACCTAATTTTATAATTACGAATATTTACGATGAAAACTTCATCTTGATCGTAAGTAATTATGACTAACCTCATCTTGATTGCATTTGATTATGATTAGACTGTTCTAGATTACAATTATGATTGTATTTATAATAATAAGTAGCTATGTTTAAACTTAATTTTGATTGTAAGCAACTTTTCTCATTTTGAATAACCGACAAGTAAATTTACAACTTACCGTTAGGGCCATATTTTTCTTGGTTCCTTTTCACCTGATCGAGGGTTAGACCTCTTTCTGGATCAGTGCTGAAATGGTCTAGGGTTTCTTTATATGTTTTGGCATGAGCTAACTCCATGTTTGACTGGAGTTATAGTCTCTACTGGAAAGATCAGCAAAAGCGACTTCAACAAAATGAAGTCAGTTCTGGAAAACAAAAGAGAACCACTTTAGTACACCAAATTTAATTAAACAGAGCTTATTTTCAAACATAAACAATGAGCAAGTTTTACATTAAAGAGACGGTTGACAGAAGTGTGACGTAATATTAATGCAAGGTATGAATGCGGAAGTGATTACAGTAGTTCTTAATAAACAAATGAAGCCTATTAATAATTGGTACGGATCGGAAAAAGGTTCTAAATAGTAAAGTGCATAGAGGAGTTTTTCTATTCCGTTAATTGGAGGAAAAATTTAATGCGAACCATTCGTGTTTCATACCACAACTAAGAATACCCCAGAAATAAAATATTCCATGTTCGAGGGGAATCACACTTCCGCTAAAGATAAGAGGTGTTGAGGTAGCAGGTTCGAATTCTGCCATAACTTGAATGTGTCGTCGAACTGTTCTCTGGTTTGCGCTAACTGATTTTCCGTTTAACAAAGACTTGTAAGCCGTTTGTACTTAAAAAAACTTGCAAAAGTGTGTGAATATCTAAATAATAATAATAAAACGAGTTGCGATTTTAAAATCATTTTTAAGTTGAAAAATTGGAGGGTCCTTCGTGGAAAATTGGTATTGTTCTTCCACTACACGCCCTGAAGCATGGAGGTAGCGGGTTCTATACCCATCTTAATGTTCGTGTACTTTCGCGAAGAGTTCTTCTCTAATTTGTGCTATTTGTTCCTCAAAATTAACTAGGGCTCATAAGAGGTTAGAGCTCGTAAATCTGCAGATTTATTTATGAATGAATAATAAATTAGACAAGGAATTTACAGTAAGACTATAGTTTTCACTAAAATGACTCGGAACAGAACGTAGAAGTTCTGCACTGTAGCGACACGACAAAGAATGTAGCAATTTTTGCACTAGAGCGACGTGACATAAAACGTAGCCGGTTTGCGCCTTGAACTTAATGAAAAATCTTGTCGTGTCTATTACATGCATAAATTTGCAGTCCTGGATTCATAAATTATTCTTACGGAAAAATGTATAAATTTTTATCTTAAAGACGTATGTCACAAACAATAGAAGCAGATTGCAAAGAGCTTTATACCTGAACATGCGGCATGTTCCTTTCAAAGCTAATACGGTAGGACTAGGATCGGCAGACTCTACACTTCGAAATGTTCGGTGGTAGAACAATTAACGAGAGACGATTTATTTTACTCTATTAAAAATATTTTATTACTTACTTATTTTATTTCAGCGCAAAGATTAAATTAAAAAAAATTTCTCCACCCTACAAAATTTTAGTTTCTGCTATCATAATTGAGCCTTGTCATATACAAACACTCCATTGTAAAACTAGACAATCCTTCAGAAATCAAAACAAAGTTATTAAAATTTAATAGCGTGTAAAGAAAGAAATTTCTTTCCTAACAAATCACGTATCGTATTTCATTCACTAAGTATCAGTTTTTCGATCAGAGTCAATTGTATATTCTGATAATATGCCGATCCTAACTAATCTTTGGTTTGTTTGTTTATCATTAATTTCCAGACTTTTTAACACTTATTTTCATAAAAAAAATATATTTTTATTCATGTCGTAAGCAAATGAAACCGACAGGAAATAAACCTCCGTTTAGTGCAAGCTTAATCTGCAAAGACAGGATGTTTACAAACGAAAGAGAATACACAATTACACCAAGACCTTAATGAAGTGTGTGCATGTTTGAAAACGCAATAAAAAGAGTAATTTAATATAGAAAACTGTTTCTTATAGGAAAAGAACTCGAACATTTCTTAATTTCATTTCATCTCGTCCGACATAATTGAAAATTATTTTTCGCACTTTCTATGAGAACAGCATACTTAATTCTGTTTATTCTTTTTCATAAAGAAGATTGAAAACAGTTACAGCTTTATTAAAAAAATTCTGCACTTTACGCTGTTAAGAAATAGAAAATCTTTTCAATCATATTAATTATTTTTTTCTGGGAACTAATGAAAGTTAAAGGAACATTGACAAAAGTATATTTGAAAAGTAGAAAACGATTCTCATAATGCAGCACTTACTAAGCCATTTGTTCTAAAATAAATCTTCCTCTCTGATTCTTATTCTGCTTTTAAAGCATTTTTAATCTACGTATATGATTTGCATTTTTTTTGTTTCCAATTGTGTTAATTAAAATTAACACATTTGAAGAGCATTTTGCAACACAATAGAAAAAAAAAGATCTGACATGTTACATTCAAAATCCGAATTGGGTATTTGAAATTCAAGAAGTGAAGTGATTATGCATAACTATGCTATTTAAATTAAATTTAATTGGATATCTGTAAAAGATGTCACTTGTGTGTGTTTCGAACATGATTGGCTTTTGAATCGACAAATTCCACGATTTACCTACGATGACGTCACTTGCTGGCATCCAATTGAAATTTATAAAAAGATATTTCGAATTTCCACCACTTATAGTATTTTTTAAGAAAAAACGGTATTCTTTTTAAAATTGCAATCTTAATATATTTTCAATGAAAGTTAAGCTATTTTTGCACTTTAAATTGAGGAAAAGAGAACTTTGGGAGTTTAAGTTTGAAAGCTTAGAAAATGATTCTAGAAGAACACCATTAACGAAATCGTTTGCTCCAAAAATAATAATAATTTGTTATCGTTTTCATCACATTTAATTAAACTACTGTATATTTCATTATATACTTTATTTAGAAGCTAAAATATCTCTATCTAAATAGTTTGGTGTTTATATAAAATTTTAAAAGTATTTTAACTGCTATTATATAATTGGCAAACATAAATTTATCTTTGGAGAATGGATTGTAATAAAAAAAAAGTTTGTCAGAAATAACAGACAAAACAGCTCACATTAGAGAACAATTTATCAGACTTGGAAAAATAGGACATAATTGCCTCTCCAAACACAAACGCAAAGGGATGCTGGTCTAAAAAAAGACAGCATCACCCGCATTTAGAAGTCTCTCTCTGTGTCTAAACGCGTCATCTTACTGCCTCTACAATACACGTGACACGTTAACAAAAATGATTGTTTCAGTAATACATAAATCTTGTCTTTATCTTTGGAAAGAATATGAAATTCATGTGGCCATTAGCATTTTATTTATTGTTTAATTGCGAAATAAATCGCCTTCATTCAGAAAATCAATCTCTAATTCTTCTTCTTGATCTTAGATTAAAAATTATCTCGATTTTAACGTCATAAAGTAATTAATAGCCAGGTTTTTAGTAAAAGTAATTATTACTTTAAAAAAATGTAGTGCGCTCAAATTTTAATTGCTTGTGAGATATTATTTGATTTAAAATCAGCCTTAATGGTTTAAAAACAACATCTTTAAAAAAAAAGAATAAGTAAGTAAAAATAAGCAGGGTTTCATATATATATTTTTTTATTTTTGCCGGTTTTCTGATACAAAGAACATTGCTTAGTAAGTTTCAATAATTAATTCAGTTGTACTTAAAATTAGTCTAAAATTGTTTTTATGGAACTTTGAGTCTGTATTTAATAAACAATGATAACTTAATGATACAAGAACTTTAAAGCGTCATTAAAATAGATAATTAATTCTCATTAACTCTTATCAGTATATAATTTTCATTTTACTAATTAGAGTTAATTCATTTTATTAATTAGAAGTAATTTATGTAAAACGTGCAAAAGATTGCCCAAATACTTTACTATCACAGACTTTTTACTTTCTTTATCAGTTTTTTTTATAATTGCAAAAGGTTCAACATTTTTAAATGAAATTGAAACATTGCCGTTGTGACCCTAGCACTAAACAAATTGAGAACTCTTTGCGAGGTTACATTAAAGATTTGCAATTATTGATTATGCGTTATTTTTTTGTGAAGGAGCATTATTTGCACAATGTTAACTAAAATAATATCATTCGTTAAATAGTTACTCTAATAATGTAATAAATATTACGAATCATTTATCAGCTAATAATGATTAAAACCACAGAAAATGTTACGAAAATTGGTAATTATTCGAGAGAAAAAAATCTGAAATGGTTCTTGAATTAAGGATTCTGAATGAAAATGTGAAATGAATGATAAAAAGATAAATAGCATTTTTTTTTCAAAGGAAGATGAATCCCAAACGTCTTTATTTATTTGTGAAAAACTTAAATTACTGACAAAATGAAAGGTTTAATAAAATTAAATCATAATTATACTGAAAACAATAAATAAAAAAGTCCTTAATATTAATAAAAATAAAATTTGAAATGAAAATAAAATTTATGTAATAAAATAAGAAACGACATTTGAAATGAAAGAAAATATGTTCGAACTAAATTTTAAGCGATTAATAATAATGAAAATTTTATTTGTAGAACAAAACTCTCTATAAGCATTTTTATTCGAAATATCCTAGACTGAAAAATGAGAAATTAAAATAATCTATCTCATTTGTTAACAATACGTTTTTAAAATAATTTTCTTTTAAAATTTTGCAAGAAAAAAAAGATGCATGCACTGTATCTTAAAAATATGTCGAAATATATTTATTACAAGTTTCTCCGTTCTGGACATTTTAAGATGCAACTTTTATTCTTTCTAATAGGACAAAAATGGCTGTTAAAACTTTTTTAAGCATGGGGATGTTATCTCTGTTGCCATAGAGATAACATAGTGCTGAGTATTGTAGCACACTTAATTAATGCCAGGCATTCTTTTAACAAAAACAGAAAGTCATAATTTTAAATAAAGCTTATAACGATGTTAAAGATGCTTCATCGACACGCGTTTAATTTTTAGTGCTGAAACAGAAGGGGAAAAAAACATTTTCACTCTTTCTTATCTTTCAACTGAAGATGCCTGGGATTTATGCTCTTTAACAGGTAGATCTGAAAGGTTGCAATAGGTTTGATTGAGTTTAAATATCGCCAAATGGCTTTTTTTAAATGTCGCCAAGACAGCTTTTGACAGATGCCGCTTTTTTTTTATACCCATTCTCCTGTTGTAAATAAAAACCTTATTTTAAAGTTGATTTAGTGCAGG